AAAAAATTCCCGGTGGGAATCCTCAATGCCAGCGCCGTGCTCTGTCCCCTGGGGGGGTCGGGATTTGGGGGAAAAAATGGGAATTTTGGGGGATTTGAGGGGTTTTTTTTTCCAAGAAAATTCCAAAGCCGCAACGCGGGAAGGACGCGCCCAGCTCGGGGGAAAAACCGGGAATTGCAGGTGGCGGGAGAGGGGAAAAAACCGGGAAAAACCGGGAAAAAACCGGGAAAAAATCAATTTACAGGCATCCAATGGGGGGTTATCACGGGGATTTGGGGGAAATTTGGGGGAATTTGGGGAAATTTGGGGGAATTTGGGGGAAATGGCCGGGTGGGGGAGGGGAGGGAACACCTGGAGCGGGAACACCTGGAGCAGCCACACCTGGATGACAGGGCGGATTTCTGGGATGCTGCAAGGGCTGGGAAAAGCCCCAAAATCCCCAAAAATCACCCCAAAAAAATCCCATAGAAAATCCTCTAAAAATCCATTGAAAAATGCCCGGAAACCCCCTTAAAAATCGCGGAAAAATCGCGAAAAAATCCCTAAAAACAGCCTAAAAATCCATTAAAAATCCTTTAAAGAATTCCCAAACCCCAAGGGGCTGGGGATCGCCCAAAATCCCCGAATATCCCAAAATAATAATAATTTAAAAATCCCTAAAAATCCCTAAAATTTCCCCAAACCCCAAGGAGCTGGGGACCGCCTGGAAAATCCCCCCCCCATAAAAAAAATCCCCCAAAAATCCCTAAAAATCCAATTTAAAAATTCCCTAAAAAAATCCCCCAAACCCCAAAGGTTGGGGATCACCCAGGAAAACTCCAAAAATCCCAAAAAAACCCCAAAAATTCCCTAAAAAAAAATCCCCAATCCCCAAGGCCGGAGGCGCCCTCGCTTTTTCCAGGCAAGGGTTAAAAAAGCTGGAAAATTTGGGAGGGGTCGCGCTGGAAAAGCGGCGTTTTATCCCCATTTTATCCCCATTTTATCCCCATTTTATTCCCATTTATCCCGATTTTATCCCGCTTTATCCCACTGATCCCGGTTTTCCTCCATTTTATCCCGCTTTCTCCCATTTTTACCCCATTTTACCCCGAATTTTATCCCGACTTTCCGCTGCTTTAACCCGCTTTATCCCGATTTTATCCCGATTTTCACCCGATTTATCCCGATTTTCACCCGATTTATTTTGATTTCCCGCCGTTTTATCCCGGTTTTTCCCGTTTTTCCCGGTTTTTCCCTCACCTTTCCCGCCGTTCCTTCAGGGGGGCGGCGACCCCCGCGCCCCCCCCGGGGGTCCCGAGCCTTCCATGGCCGGGAGCGATCCCGGGAGGAGCCGCGGGGCCAAAAATCCGCGAAAAAAAAGCAGGAAAAGGGGAAAAAATAAAAAAAAAGGAGGAAAAAGGAGGAGGAGGAGGAGGAGGAGGAGCCGCGGGAGGGGGAGGGGCCGGGGAGGGGGAGGGGCCCCGCCGGGAATTTCGGGAATTTTTTGGGGGGTGGGATCGGCGGTTTTTTGGGAATTTCATTTTTTATGGGGATGGGATCGGCGGTTTTTTGGGAATTTCATTTTTATGGGGATGGGATCGGCAGTTTTTTGGGAATTTCATTTTTTTGGGGGATGGGATCGGTGGGTTTTTGGGAATTTCGTTTTTTATGGGGATGGGATCGGTGGGGTTTTTTGGGAATTTCTGGGGTTGTTGTTTTTTTTTTTGGGAATTTCTGGGATTTTTGGGATGGGATCGGTGGGTTTTTTGGGAATTTCATTTTTTTTGGGGGGTGGGATCGGCGGTTTTTTGGGAATTTCATTTTTTTGGGGATGGGATCGGCGGTTTTTTTGGGAATTTCATTTTTTTGGGGATGGGATCGGCAGTTTTTTGGGAATTTCATTTTTTATGGGGATGGGATCGGCGGTTTTTTGGGAATTTCATTTTTTTTGGGGGGTGGGATCGGAGGTTTTTTGGGAATTTCATTTTTTTGGGGATGGGATCGGTGGTTTTTTGGGAATTT